AAGCTGACCGGGAGCTCCCGGCACATCGTGCCTCGACCTCCCGGTCAGCTTCGAGCTGGCGGCCTCCGAAGGATGCGGCCTATTTTGCGAGATCTCACAAAGGTTCATCTTTATGTTTTCCCCTCCAATGTCCTTTGTGGGGCTCCGTATCTAACACCGCTTCATCCAACATTCTTTTCGTAATTCTTCTACAATAATTAAATCGTTTAGATGTATAAGCTGCTGTTTTTTGTTTATTTATTAGTGAATGCTACTATATATTTTAAGATCTAAATCACTTGTAAAAGTACTTATTCTGTAAAATATTTCACATATATTTATAAATGAACAACTCAGCTTCTGTAAGAAATTACTTGTTTGTCATTGCTCTTGTTGTAACGCAGGGTCAAAACAAGCAACGAGCAAAGCTGGTGCTTTGGCGTGCATTACGCAAGACTGACCAAACAATCCACAACATTTTGTTAGTCGTACTGAGGAGAAGCTCTGGCAGTGTGTGTGTACACCCTCCACTGCAGCTGAATCACAGACAGCGTTAAAGATGGATGGACTGTGGCTTCTGGGTCTGAAAAGTGAAGTCAATGCAGAAGAAACGCCTTAAACCTGCATTTTTTTTTTTCATGGCCACCAAGGGATGAAAAATTTTCAGGTTGTATAGAAGTTAATGAGAAAACAGCACTCGGCTCCTTTGCTCTGTGACCTCAGTAAAAACGCAGCTGATGTTTTTTTTACCGCAGTGACTAGTCTCAGTTTATATTGATGATAATATTTAAACAACTGGCCACCCTGGATAATGGAGGATTATCCAGGGTGTGCTGCCTGAGCGCAGTTTCATAGCCAGATCTACTCTTTTGCTCATCACATGGTTTAAAAAAACAAAAACAAGACGTCAAGTGCAAAAAATGCTCAACTCAAGGCTTCATATGCACACAGTGCCCCGGCTGTGTCCATCTGTTATACCGTCTATGAGCTTAACATGTGCAAGGTAATCATTTAATGAGATATTGCCAAATTAGCTAAACCTAATGACAAAAACTATGTCAAATAAAAAGCTGTCCCTCGAAAAAAAAAACAACTTGCAATGGATTTGACCAGTTCGCTTCCTTGTGTGTTAGTGTTTGTTCCATTCTCCTTGAAACAAACAATATGGTAGCCACTGTGCCAAAACTTTTATACCTATGCGTTCGACACGACTAAAGATAAATTATATTCGAAGCACACAAACCTTCTATCAAAGTACAATTCATTTGTAATGCAATCAAAGGGTGGGAGCTGATTCTGCTCGTGTTAAATGAGCGGACTGTCACAGGAAAACATTTATCTCATTAAATGTGATCATCCCATCCGAGTTGAAGCAAATGAGAAGTGACGGCGGATCTGAAACCCGCTCTGACTGGGAGCGGGGCTGTTTGAGCAGGCACCGCTGCACTCCTGCAGCCGTTCTGTCTGAATCTATCTGTGTGTGAGTGCTGTGGGACATTAGGCGCTGCTGTGTGTGTGCTGTAGATGAGGAAAGTGTTTTAAGCCCAGCAATGATGGCTCCCTACTTGGGTCATTTCAGTCCCAGTAGTGGTGAACTGCTGACAGCCCTGGCTTTGTCCACACACAGATACACAGCAATGCCACGGTATTACCACCTCAATGGCAAGAATTGCAATGCAGGCAGGCAACAGGCGCTGCAGAAGCCTGTGGTGCGCGCTGCCTGTGAGCCGTTATGTATAAATGATTGTTTTTCTTTCTATCTGTGCGTCTTCTACGGGAGATGAAGGAGCTGAAGGAGAAAGGGGGAGGGACAGATCAATTAACATCTCCCTAGAGAGACTAACCATAGAAGCTGGAATGGACATCTTCACGATGAAAGAGGCCGCAGCTTGTCAGCTACCGGCTGGCCTCGCAAGCCAGTGTTTCCTTTTTAGCGCTTGTAATGACAGGTCGTCATTATGCAAACGACAAAAAGGCCGATCATTGATCGATATGTGCAAAAACCACACACAAATGCTCTCAGACCACTGAGCTGTCTGGCACACAGACACACAGAGCCCTGAGCGAATCTTAATGCATCCTTCCCCTTTTTAACTATGTATAGGCTACAACACATTGATTTCTAATGTATCAGGTTATGACAGCTCTTCAATATTGCTGGAGGCAGCCGTGGAGCTCACTCTGAGAGCACACAGCTTGAGGCTGTGGACCTGACAGGGGAGAGCTGGCATTACGGAGGAGGCTGTCGTTGTCCTGACTACTGTCACTGCAACTCACAGCAGACCTGGGCTGCTCACTGCAGAGATATGACTCAGGCCAGTGTGTGTGTTACCTTAGCTGACTCCCGAGCCCCTGTTTCCACCTGAACTATCCCTGCAGAGGTGGATTGGGCACAGTAATGAGGGGAAACGCTGCCTCCCTGGATCTCTGTGCATAACAAGCTCCTGCACAGAATGTTTACTTTTTTATCGGCCTATCTAACCTGTAGACTGTGCACCGCCTGAAAGCACTGCACGGAGTCGCCTAATGTTATCCATCTTGTTAGTTATCATCTATGCCAGCCTTTAAGTAAGCTTGGGACAGGCCTTCACAGTCGCATCAAACCGTCATGACAGATCCTTACCTGAAGGAGGCAGCGCTCCTTGAAGACATAGGCGATGAGCTTATCCAGATGCATGAGACACTGGTGGTAGCGGATATGATGGGTGAGAACGGGGAGCATCATGGCGTGCTGTGGAGGACAGAGAGAATTGACAAGCAGGGTAAGAAAGGAAGACGGGAGAGGAAGAAAAAAATAGAAAATCTCAAGTAACAGGAAGAGGCAGAGAACAAGGATCATGGCGTATATGAAAGAAAAGTGAAGGGAGCGTGTTTTGAGAGCAAGTGTGATGAAGAGATTGGGAGAAAGAATGGGAGAGGGTTGATGGAGGGAACGGGGAGGGAGAAATCAATCAGCCAGTCATTATTTATTAAGTGGTGCTCTGCAACAGAGAGATGAAATAATCAAAAACCCAATTGCTGTAGAGCGAGAGGGAATGACAGAGGTGGGGGAAATTCACATTTGGACAGGACAGTCAAAATCGAAGCCCATTCTGACATGTTGACACACTTACATTGGAACAAACGCTGACAGCCCCCGCTGACCCTCACATATGAAAAGAAAAAAAGTTTGAGTGCAACAAAGTAAAAGAAAAGTCAAGGGCAGGGCGGGGTTGGAGGATGAGCTGCGAGCGAGCGGAATGTGACAAGAAAAGTGGGAGTTAAAGCGAAACGGTCGGTGGTCGGATACTGAGCTCGGCAGTCTGCGGAGCCAATCTGCGGAATCATTAGCCGAGGCTTATCAAGTCTTCCCCTCGGAGTGACTGAGAAACTGTAACAAAGGCTGGTGTACACACATTAACCCCGTGCCACCACATGAGAGAGGAAGGAGCCGTGCATGTTTTAATTAGTGCTACTGGGGAGGGTGAGCCCGAGGCCCGGCGGCTACAAGCGGTGCTGCCACGTAGCCCTGGGGCCATCACAGGGGCCGTGGTGACACAGTCCCCGGGCCTTGTTAAGCAGCCAATTAAACAAAGCCGGGGCCCGGTCATGTCTGCTGCTCCTGACCTGTTCTTACGACTGCCTGAGTGACTGAGTATGTCTCTGTGTGCACAAAGGCAGGGTGGGGGCTTGTTAGAGAGTTGATACGCCACTAATTAAAAGGTGAGAAATTCCTAATTTACTGTCACGGGTGACGTTTGGGTATTTTGGACACCTTCCAACCAGGCCAGCAGCCTGAATTCGCTTTTTCTTTGATTTAAGTATTACAAGCACGACTCCACACCGAGGCTTTACTCTGGGAAGCCAGTCAGGTTTATTAACTGCCACCCAAGCATATTTGGCACCTCATTTTAGTGATAAAAAA